TATCAGCTTAATTTACAAACTTAAATTCCCCAAAGTTAAAATGAATAAAACAAGTAGAGCTTGATTTTGTTTGGGTGGGGAGGGGGAGGATTGAAAATTTCATTTATATTTTCTAATACTTTAATAGATCCCCTGCTTTTTTTATTAATTATAACGCATAAGATTGTTTAGCATTATTTAGGATTTATTATACAATTATAAAGTTAATTGTTATTTTGTTTATAAAAAGATGAATTAATATAATATAAATGTTTACAAAAAATATTAAGTGAGTACGTATGTCGCGTATCGTTATCAAATATGTATCAATTAGGTTATACATATTAGTTATGCAATAATTACACTTAGTATTTGACTTATTATTTAATAATAAATATTAATATACATAATCAATTATGACTTAAAATATATTTACTAATAACAACAATTAACATATTTAAAATACTTAAAATTATTTTTTATTATTTATTAATTTAAAAAATATACAAGTATTATCCCAATTTTCTGTAAAAGTCTACCAAGTTTATATACGCTTATATTTAAAACTTTTAATGCAAGTGTATTAAGTTATGAAATGTTAGTTGGTTTGTGATTTGTTTTGGGGTTCAATAAAAAAGATGTAGGCACAAGGCTCTGCATGGTTATATTAGGAAAATTAGGAAACGCAAATTGGTATGTGTCATAATATTACCAATACAATTTCTTTTCTAATTCAAACACTGGAAATAAGATCTTGACTTTTGGTTAACACGTCTTTGCAGTACTAAACAAATAACCACAATCACACGAATTCCACCATTGTGTTTCATCATTCATTTTAATTATATTGACATAAGCCAACAATTTAATATTGGGAATATAATAAATTCACAACTAAATGTGAGCACAAATTTCCCCATCGTATATCTTTATTCACAATTCATAATATTTGATTTTATTGAAGTTCTTGTAATAATAACACACTACAGGCATTTATTTTCAATTAACATAATTTAACTATAAATATTTGAACATTATTGTAATTGTATAAAAATGTTTCCATTACAGTTTTCTTAGGTAGTTTAAATACTGCACTTGTTTTATTCGTGATTTTTATATTTCTGAATTAGATTATTTAACAAATAAAAAAGATAATTTTAACTACGTTATATATCCAATTATTAACTAAAACAAAACAATTTAAAGTTATACTATATTATATATTTAGGTTATCTGTGTAGCCATTAAAAATAATTAACATTATACACGGTATATATATATATTTTTCGATTATTTAAAGAATTTTAAAACACGATACCTTCGTCGTAATTAATACAGTAAAGTTTAAAGTATTGTAAAACCGATTAGTTATTACATAGTGGAGAAAAAAAACAAAGACGTTTTACAAAAAAAGAAAAGATGTGGAAAGTAATTGGTTAAAATTTTACCAAAATAGTTTTAAATAAACCACCATTGTATTCAATAATTTAAATTCATATTTGGGTGAAATATCAGGAAATTGAAATTTAACACACAGTTATTTTGATTCGTGTGTTTAAAACGAAACACTCTATTAACATTCACGTCAGGTCGTTGCAATAAACAAATTAGAAATAAATTACCATTTTCAACCGAGCATACATATTTACATTAAAATTAGTTAAATTCCTAATATTACAGGGAGCAAAAACGTACTCAATGGAGGTCCAGGTCCTCACAGACTTTCTCATTGATTCACAGAATTTAAAATTCTTAAGGTCCAATACACTGATTGTATAATATGGTTGATATGGTATATGTACATTATAAAATATCAAACAGAATGTGGCGGTACGTCCTCCGATCACCGCTACGATTTTATTTTCTTATCGGTCGCCCCTACTTGGTTAGCACCACCTACCAAGTTATAAGTAATTTATAAATAATTATAATTAATCGCAAGTCCTTGCTCGTAATGATATAATCTAAACATATTATATACATATACTATAATATGTCTATGCTCGTAAACCGCTTAAGAATCATGATGACAACGATAACGTAATCTAAGATTACAACAACAGCAGCGTAGCTGATATTTCTTTCTATACCTCTTTAGTTCATGACTCTATAGAGCATACTATAATATTTCATATTTAAGAAGACTTAAAACTTATCTTAAAAGTACTATTGATGAAAATAGAATCAATAGTTTAGCTATCTTAAGTATCCACCGAGAAAAACTTCTAACTCCTAAAGAAATTATTGAACAGCTTATTAAAAATATATATATATATAACTAAAATTTTAAACTATTAAAAATTATTTTAACTATATTAAACGTAATATTTAATACATTTTTTTTTTTAATTTTAATACTTATTGTATAATATGTTCTTTGACCAATTAGAGAGTTCATGAATCAGAATGTTTGTTATTATTTTTTTTTTTAATAACATTATTTGTTTTATACTTTTTACATGTTCAAAAAATTAGATTCTCCTCTTTTAAAAATTCCTGGATACACCTCTACAATATTATATGATATTCGAACTCATTAAAATATGGTTATACACGAGATATCATAGAAGAATGTACACCAGATATCAAAGTTAACAATAATAGGTCATTTCAGGAAATTTTAAAATAAAAAATGATATCTTTAAATATTTCTTTATTATTATGTAATTAATTAATGTTTTAAGTTTCAAAAAGTAGACAATAACAAAATCCACACTAATATAAACAATTGAACATAATTTTAGAAAATACCTATGCATAAGATAATTTAAACTATTATGTACATTGTACTCGTAAAAACATCATAACGCTTATAATAATATAATATACAACTACAATCCCCTTGGATTATAGAATAATTAACTATTTTAGTATAATATTATCATTCAATTTCGATATGACTCGAAATTTTACGTTATTTTTAAGTTATAAATCTAATAAATAATAGAACATCGTATATATTATTATTATTATTTCTCATCACTTCTGATTTTCATAGTTTTTTCATAAATATACACTCTGCACCCAATAATATTAAAAATTTTATTAATATTAACTAAAATTAAGTGTTGGTCAACCTTAATAAAAATGTACCAAGTACTTTATAAATTAATAACATATCAACTAGTATCAACTAGTAGACGACAGTTCACAATTGAAAGATACCTATATTCGTCTGAAAACTTAATTATTTACATAAAATGTACCATCAACCATCGTCTAATCACTAAACCTTGGTGTATTAACCTACAACACACAACGACCGTGGACACATCTAAGGTAAACATCCTGATTTTTGGAGAACCACAATACAGCACAGCTCTCATAAAAATATAGAATGATGATATTTTATCGATATATTTTTATTTATTTATACAAACTATCGGAAGTCATAAAATCAGATAAAATATACGTAACTATAACTTAAGGCTAGTGATTGGTTGCAAGACTGATTTGGTAAAATGATTGAATCAACACGTTATCATGGTGTACGTAATATTCTATTAAATTTATTACTTATATTATATAATTTTATAGCTATATTTTTTTGAATCATTTCAAAAACCTAAAAATTTATCATTCATAACATAAATACTTATAATATGATTTCAAAACTCATAATATTGAATTAAATTTAAATTTAAATTTCGAAATACTAAATATATGTGTAAATGACATCTACCTATTATTATTATTTACTACAAATATGTTATACAGTGCTACACATTATAACTAAATGATTATATTTTATAACAAAGAAAAATAATTTAGAAAACAAAATTTGAATTATGTAAAACGTAAAATAGCGTAAGCTCAACTATATACTAATTTTGAATTATTTATAATTGTTACAACTGTATAAATTCTTTACAGATCTTTAACTACCTATCTAGATTATTTTAAAATATGTATTTTTTGTGGTTCTATTCAAATAATTGTTAGTTGATAATATTAGTTTAAATAAAAATTAATATTCAAATGCTTGAATTTCAAAATGTTTCTATTAATATGACACTTAAAACCTATATATTTAAATAAACAGTACATTTTTTAAAGAATATAGTAAGTAATATTATAGTTATTACTATAGAAATAGAATATTTGATACTTTTTCTTCTTTTTTTTTTTTTTTTTAATTAAAAATAAATCACAAGCTTAGTATACAAGTAAATGTACAATAAGTAATTTTGGGTACAAATTCCTTGCAATAGCAGGATGAAGGATGTATAAGCACTCAATAGTACCACCTGACAAATTACACTATCGTACGTAAACTACGTTATATAATATTCCAGCTGATCAATATAGTATACGCGTTGGAGTACTCAAATTATTCCAGTAAAACGATTTTTTTTTCGATTTCCGCAACAATGAATTTTTATTTTTCTACGCGACATGCTCGTCTGCCGTTCACGTAACCCAGATTGGTTCAATAAATCCTAAAAAGGTCCCATCTTATCGCAAATACGTATATAATATACAAAATATACACATCTTATAGGTACGCAAACATTATACGGATATATTATAATATATACACATAAAGGTTCTCTGATTTCACACGCACTGTACCAAGAAAATAAAGTTTTTCGCTATCCGTATCACGTTTGGATAACATGCAAAACGTGTACTAACATTGGTCGTTAATACACGCCTTGAACTGTTACCCTGTAAGTATAGAACTCTGGAAACTGATATTGTGTTCAAAGAAGTCGGCGAGAACGTGCACACGTAAATTATTATGCGACTATGACACCACTGTTGGCACACGTCCGATGACAATTCTAGTTGCTTAGCAATTATTATTTCACACACGCATGTGGAAAGTTAATTCGCATTATCGCTAAAACTTTGGGAACGCCTGTTGAGCAAAGTTTAAGAAGAGCTCCAAGTAGGAAGGGGTGGGATGGCAAAAGAGATTTGCTTAGCAATGGTTATTGTTACCGTCGTCGTCGAGACGTAATACTCATAACGTATACGCATATATCACAATATATTAATCTTTCGTATGTGTTTTGCAGCTTGTAACCGGACATACCACGGCGAAGTCGGCAGAACGTACGACCTGGAAGTCAGAAGACCCAGAGAAGATAGATTGCCATTCTTGTGCTACTTGAACTTTACCGCAGCCGGTGGCAAATATGGCGATATAATACAGGTAATTTTTTTTTCGTGCATCGTACTTAACCTATCTGTTAATATAGGTTTAATGATGTTTGCGTTATATTTTAATAAATAAATAATGTTGGAATAAGTTTGGTCAGTTTAATACGGTGTTAGAATAGATAATGTACTGACTGCTAATGGTCGTGGATTTAAAATGTTGTTTCATCGAAATTCTGATTGTATTGTCTAACGCATGCGTATACATTACGTATTTATTATTCATTTCGTTAGAATTGTATTTGTAATAATATTATGTAAAAATTAATGTATAACCTCACTTAAATGTGTCATTACTGGGTGACTGCTTTTATCAAGATTTTCATGTATTATAATATTTATTTTAGCCTATACTCTTACTGTACCCTTGAGGTGCAGATTGTGTATATAACAATAAAGGGAAAAAAACTAATATTATGTTATTGTTACACAATTTAAAAAAAAAATATGAACAAATGATACTGAACCGGAATTTATAACGTATAATCAGTACAATATGACGCCGGTATACGCTATCAATGTCTTCAAATTTAGACTTAACGTATAGAAACTGAAATATTCATTAAAATATTATTATTATTATATTATATATTGTGTATGTATCAGCATATATTATATTTTACATCATTGATCATTATATACCCAATGTTATTAATACTCCGCATATTTATATTGCACTGAAGATACGTTTAAAATTATATTGTGCATGCTATTTAAATAGAATATAAAAAATTTAATACAATTACATAAATATAATATGAATTTAGAAAGATAAATTTATATTACGCTTAAAAAAGCTAACTTCATAACATTCGGGAAAGTTTGATTGAAAAAGTCATATAACAACCGACTGAATGGTTCTTCTATGTTTACATATATAAAAAAATAATAATAAATACAAAAACCATTTGTATCATACATGTACTCGGGATCGTATTTTAAACAAAAATTAAATTAAAACAATAAAGAAAACACTATAATTGGAAAATGAAACAAAATGAAACTGCAAATTTCAATCCTATTCCTCCCTGAAGCATCGAAGTTTTTTTTTTAGGAACTTTTACTCTGTGCGTCTACCTCATGTAAACTTTGTTATTTTTTTTTCTTATGAACAATCAAAGTTGACTGAGTGTGCGATTATAAAAAGCGAAAACTTTTTCCTTCTCCAAATAAACTCAGAAAACAACATGAGAAAAACTATATGACCAAAGTTCAGTTATTTACTAGACGCTGATTTTTCTTTTTTTATGTAAAACTTAGTTGTTTTCCTATAATAATGATAATACGTATAGAAAAGGGGAAGACATTTATCAAAACAAAAAAATAATTTGTTATAAAATCTATGAATAAATTCTTATTTTTTTCCCCATTGATGTAAAAATATTCTATGCTCTCCAAGCACGATATATATTAATATAATTTATGTAGGTAATCGATAAAATAATCGTACCTGTATTTATATACAATAAATATTAGATACTTTTTGGTTAGAACAAAAATATTTATTTATAACCACTAATTATTCAAATTTAATGGCTCTCAAATATTTATTAAACATTTTAAATAATTTGTTTATTTTATTAGTCCACGTGTTAAATGACTTAAATGCATACATAAACATTCTAACAATAAAATAAAAGTCAAAAAACATGTAAAACCATCTACATTTTTTTAATCTGTTGTAAATAATTATGTTTCTAACGTTATTAAATTAATTAAAATGTATTATTTGAAAACTAACTGTGAACACTGCGAAAATTCATTCCTTATTTTATTAGATTTCCTAATTGTTAATTCATTATAATTCTTTGAAACTATCTTAAGATATTTTAATTGATGGAATACAAGACTATATTACATTAAATAACTATAGGTGAAATATTAAATTTACAAAAAGTAACTTATGTGACATTGAATCTAAGATATGATTATTTTTTTAAATATAAACTTATTAATTAAGAATAAAATAAATATTCATTGATTTAAAGTAAAAAAATCTACTAACGTTACATAATATGGTTATTATAACACTAATAATAATTAAACATTCAACAAAATATAATTAATTTTTTTTTTTTAATAATAGTGCTTCAAATAAAAACGTAAATTAAAAACAAAATTAAAATAAATTATTTTATTGAACGTATAACTGTATGAGGTCATAAATATTTTTTTTAATAATTATTGGTGAAATAATTGCTATGAAATAATCAATTCATACAAAAATGTATAGAATAGGTACCTGCATATTATTAATATCTGCATCTACAGCAGAATTAAACTTAAATACATAAACAAATAAAGTGAGACTAAATGTTATTGTTCAATAATTTTACTCGTGTTTTTGAATTTTATATTTTTTATGAATTAAAATATAAATCTATTTTGCTTTATGAGAAAAATATGCTTTAAAAACAAACCCACAAAATATATAAAAATATGCACTTTAAAATTCTTAAAACAAACAAATTTAAATCTGAATGCATTTATAGTAAAAATATATTTTAATATACTTTTATTTATATTAATTGCAATATTTAAAATATTGTTTTTTTTTTTTTTTTAATGATGCATATTATAAAATTTTATGTAATACTTGTGTAAAATGCCTATCTGTAAGAATTATTATATGCATTAATGAGCGCATTATACTCGTAGCAATAATAACTTACAACAACAGTCTAAAATAATTTATCTTTAGAAAAAAAATATTATTTTGAACGTACATAAAAATGTTGAGGAATTATGATGCGACCATCAGTTATAGATTATTAAAAACACTAAAACTAACTCACAATATTTCCGTATAAAATATTTTTGAAGAATATAATATGCGTGAAATTTAAAATATGCAAGACTACGCAAATATATTTTACTATGCATGGTATTATAATTTGTGCACAACATTTTTACTGAAAATATACGAATGCATCAGTATTATTCTGATAAATAATTTAAAAAAATAAGCATAGGTAAGAAAAGAAATTCTATCTTATTCATACCTACAATAAAACTAAATCACCCTAAAACGACAATAAACTTATTATACCCTAAAATAACTAATAACGTAAACACTTAATATCTCCACAACAAACTTGTTAAACGCAAAAATCTTAGTATCTCTCTTACTATCCCAAGAAATTTTGCTAGAAGGCTTAAAGTAATTGGCACAAAGACGCCTTAACAAACAGAATAGTTATTAATTAAAAATCACACCTTAAAAAAAAAAATTATAATAATTATAAAAAAAAAGTATTATAAATTCCAGAGGTGCTACTTATAGGTCTCTTTAATTTCTTTATATACCTAAACTATATTTATTTTATTTCTAATTTACCTATTATGCTACTATTATTAGTGAATATTTTAAATATTATTTTTTTTTAATAAAAAAACAATTTATATTATATTGATAGTTTTTTACAACCAAAAATACACAGTAATTATTTTTTAATTATTATATAAAAAATGTGTGACTATTGCCATTATTGTAATCTGTAAATTATGTACTCCAGGCATATAAATTTTAACTTTTTTTAATTTTCTTTACATGGCGGATAATCCATATCTTTTAAACATTTATTAATTTACTCTTTTAGTCTAATTTACTCTAAATTATTGTATTGTACAGTAAAATATAATTTATTGTTTCACTTGAAAATATCCTCTATAGCAAAATTTATTTGTAGAATATTATTAAGATTTTCTGTCCTAATCGATTGTCACCTTTATACATATGCATTATAATTTATGTAAAGTTCATTTTAACATAACTCAATTAATTATTTTTACGAACTAACAAAAAATGCGTTTACGCATTCACGTAATTCACATCGATCTTAGTTTCAATTTTATGAATTCGACTATTACGTTAATTTTTACTGTTTGATTACGTTATTCATTAATTGTAAGATATTTATAACTTTATTAAACACTCGTTGTACAATTTACAAGTATTCAATTACTCTAATAGCTTATACTCTAACTTTTTTACTTTATATTGCTTTTATATATAATTTGGTTTATGTTTTTTTCTTACTAATATATAATGTATATTACGGATTATAACGAATTTTAGTATTTTATCACACATCTAATATGTGTACGTCCATTTTGAAAATAGAGAAGTTAAATTGTTTTAATATACCTAACATTAGTTATACCTGAAAACAAAATATAAAGAACAAAGAAAAATATAACAGAATGGCGGCTCTGTATTTTTTTTTTTTTTTTTATATATATGAACCACTAGCAAAAATTGTAATTACATATAATATGTATATATGTATGAATGTATGTATGTATTTCAGGTGTCTGTTATGAATTATTCAATCGGTACCTGCATCATACAATGAAATGTACTCATATCTGGATTATATTTACACAGGATTTAGGTCATTTTACTTCATTTTTTTCTTCGAAAAAAAAAACAAAAACCTATGTAAAAATATATTTTTTGTGTTGAGTAGTATCAAAAGGACATAAATGTATTATGCATAAACGGATGAAGTACTTTTTAAATTCTTTAATGGTCCTTACGTTCAGACGTGCAACACTTGAGTCATTCTCTTTTTATAAATTTAAGTACTTTTCACGATTTTAACGTGCGTTATTATGCACAGATTAAAACTCAGTTTAATACACTATGTTAAATTATGTTTTTCATAACGTATTATATATTTGATTGAAAAAGATACGAAATAAAAACAAACTTAGATTATAAATACTAAGCACGAGTTTTTTTTAAGATTGGCATTATTTTAACACCCATATCCATTAGCCACAGGCCACATATACATTCGGTTTTCATATTGATATAATCTAAATTTTTAGACCCATTTTAAAAATAAATAATAAGTTTTGATTGCATTTCAGTAGATATACTTTATTACTATGTTATAATTTGTTATACTTAACTTAAAACTGAATATTAATATATATATATATATGATTTTGTTTTAAAATCGGCACACCGTACAAAATGCTGTTTTTCTAAAACATTTCCCAAATTTACCTATAAAAATACTCTAATTTAAAAAAAATTACACTGAGTGTAACATAAAAATTTCTATTCCATAAAATTGACAGCATTTGTGTTTATGAACTTAAAATGTCTTACACGTTGTGAACAAAATACATATGGTATGAATTCGGTCTTTGGAAATTTTAACTGCAATAAGTAGATGATGTATATTTATTAAAGATGAATCGAACTATTTGAATCTCAGTTGAGTCGAAATGAACCCTTGACGTTTGGTTCTGTTCGAAATTCGAACTCGGTATTAAAAAAGTTTGAATTGAACTATCAAGCATCTTTTGCTATTCAAAAAACAAACTTGAAAATATATTGACTTTCTGGCTACATTCGTTTTAATGACTATTTATAAATAATTATTAGAAGCTTTATACATATATTAATTGCTAATTTTTATTTTTATCATATTTTATTGCACCTAACGGGAAAAATCTTTTTTTAGTTAAGCCCATGGTAATATTCCAATACTGCGACTGTGCTTTTAATAAAAACATGTTTATAATTTACATTATAATATTGTTTTAAATAGTAGAACAAATTGTTACCAAAAGGAGACAGTGACTTAATCTCAAATCAATAGAAAAATTGGTATTTGTACATAATAATTTATGATAATTAATTAATAATAATATTATGTTGTACAATATTTAAAAAATAAATATGTACATTTTTATTTTAAGCTTATTTTTACTAATACTATTTTTATTTATTGTGTGCCTTTAGAAGAATATATATATGAAACTATCTAAACATATTGTAAATACAGTCACGTAGATTTCAAATGTAGAATAAGTAATACTCAAAATATAATTTTAATTTTAATATTAAATATACGTGTATAATTACGATTATTGTTGAATTAGGTAAAATATTTTTTACAATATAATAGTATAACAATCATATGATTATAATAACGATAGTTTTTTTGATAAAAATATTAGTAGCTTATTAAAAAAAAAAAAAAAAAAAAAAAATACAAATTATCATAACAATTACACATTTAATAAGTTTTAGTTTTATTCTCAATTTACAAATTTAAGTATTTATTAATAGTATTTGAATAACATTTAATATGAATATTATTAGTTACTTCAATAATTGAATAACCATCAATCTTTAAATTAATTATTATTTCATATGAATTATATTTAAGGACTGCTATGTTTCAAAATTCAACTAAACCTTAGAATAGCATAGTATTTAAACAAGGGTCGTCGATTGTACTATAGGTCGTATTTTAATATAATATTACCTTGCACATAAATAGGAATTATTGATGGTTGTACACTTGTACCGGAAAATATGAACATAATCAATGATTTTATGGATTTATGTAAATCCAGACAAATAAATAGAATAACCTTATATACTGCTCTTATTGAAGGTTCATAACCAAATTTATTATTAGCATAGCTACGAATGTTAATTCAATTTTGTATTTGTATTACCATTGTTCCAAAATATTATTACCTAGCGCCTAGCTTCTGTGATTATCCGTTCCTGTTTGTCACTAGGATGCTCAATCAGACAAATTCGCAATGCAAATAACCGTTACCATGAATAAAAAACTTTAAACCAACTTTAATTATGTGTTTATAATAATAGTATCTATATACTATCAGATAATTTTCTTTTTATAGAAATAATGTACCATAAAAAGCAAACGATTTTAAGTATTAAATTTCAATTAAACTGAATATATTATATATTTTCAGTTTTCCTAAACTTAGAATTCAGTATAATTTAATTTTATGACTGTAATTATGTCAAATTAAATTACGGTTTCAAAATATAGCCTATTTCATTTTATCGTGATTGAGATAATAACGACCGGATCGATGGTCTATTTATAAACGGTTTGGGAAATCTATAGCGACTCGTCTAAAATCAAAATTAATTTTTGAAACATTAATACAGACAAATTAGCTTTATGCAACATACCCAGACAGTCTACAACATAATATATACATATTTTTATGAAATAATATTATATTATTGTGTATCACTAATTTAAAAAAATCTTGAAATAATTAATAATAATACAGAAAATATTTACCACTCTATATAACGCACAATTACGAACAATATAATTAGCATCAAACGCGTTATTATACGAGTTCGACCTTTTTATATTCCTATTAATAATTATATACATAATAAAATTGCAGTTGACATTTGATACGTTCACCGTGGGGAAATTCGTTTCGTACACTTTAGACGGATGTCCTGACGGATACATGTCCATCAGAGAATATCAATTGCCAGACACCGGTGGTCAATGGTGCGGTAGTGCATGGGGTTTTACCGTTTACTACAGCGAAACCCGGTCAATTAATCTGACTCTCACACTATCCAAACTCTCTGAACAGGTAAGGACCTTTATAAATCAATTACTAATAAAAAAGTTGTACTGAATCAAATTGACATTATATTTTTTTTATGAAAAACAGGAACATAACTTCATGTTAGACAGTGTATAGTGGATACTATTTAATATCCATTTTATAAGTGTGTCGTGAAAACGCTCCTATAATATTTAATCAAACAAGATTTAAATTCAAGACCTAGACCCTAATATTATGTACATTAATATTATAAATATAATACGTCATTGAAACATGTGTTTACAGGGTATTGGTTACAATTTCGATTTCAAATTATCATACAAATATTTGAAAAAGAGCGATGCACACCTCCGGTACGGAAATAGTACTTTCCAGACGTGGCGAGGACAAATGATTACAGGAAGTTACTGCGATAGGATACTCGATCAGTGCGATCGTAAACTCTGCAGAGTCCAGTCTCCTAATTTCCCGGGAGCTTATCCAAGAAACGTCACTTGCTATTACAGGATAGAACAGAGAACAGCCCCGAAATCTAAGCGCGCTCTGATCGTGGTCAGACAGCCGAATGCCCACAAAATTCATATTAAAGACCAAGTTATAAATTATGATCGAAGCCAACGTACGCTCAGGTATGTATGCGATAATATACATTAACGAAATATCGAAATCGTTTGTTAAAAACTGATTTATTTCAGCACTGATACGTACAAAGAAGTTTTTAAAAAAAATTAAAAATATATACATAGCCTTGATCGAATTTGTAATACAAATATATTGTATGTATAATATATTTACCCTTCTCCTTTAGAAAAAATCTATAAACGCATAAATAATTATTGATTTCAAAAAATTCGCAGTAAAAATCGGACAGTTGATGTCACGGGTATATCACTTTTTCATTATTTATAGTGTTCAAAGAATAGAAGTTTAGCCATTTTATTGGTATATATTAATTGAGAGTTTGAGACCCATTCATTGTCGTTAAGTTTGTTAATATCTAGTTTAAAAAATTATCTCGGACAAATATAATATTACGAGTATATAGGTAAATTTTTTTTTATATATTTATATCTTCATAATACTATAAATTATATTAGACTGATACATATACTTATTATTCACTCCCTCATAAAACAAAATCAACCAATAAACAAAACAACATTGAAATACATGTTTGAAAAAATATTCCACACCGATAAATTTTAATACAATTCTACTCACGCACACATTTATTTATTATACAAGACGTAAAGAACAGTATCAGATCTATATAATATAATATACCATATTAGCTCGCCAAAAAGTCAAACAATGAATAAGATCCGAGTGAACTTAATAAATTAGGCTAATGTATTTTTAATGGAACGTTTCTCAATTGTTGTTTAAAAGCAAATTCCATTATTCGTGGTCTCTATAATAATGTAAAAGTCACATTTAAATCTCGCATTGTTTTCCGAACAACAAATAACAAGGAATGCCAATTGAACGGGATCTAAGAAAAATAATAATCATTTATAGTCGTTCGCCCCTTTCCAATATATTACATAGTGTTATTATTATTTTTTTCACTTCCATTTGATATGTAAATAAATCTTTTGGAAAGCGTCGGAAAGACGCCATTCCATCACGTTGACAACAAACCTACGTAAATGATTCCAGCTAAAACCCCACAAATAATATATAAACATTTCAGTCGATTACACTTCAAAAACAGGCGCTGGCCAAGTCAAGCAAATTTGGTAAATGAAATGGTGCATGCAAATTAATAAAGACAAATATACACGTGTAACTTTCGAAAACATTAAAATAAAAAAAGTGTGTTGGAAAAATAACACCGAATAATTGGTGATAGGTCCATTCTGATTTGGCTAAAATAAAATTTCCGATTTCCGGTCGGAATGGAATATTATCTATTCTTACTATTTTTACTATAGACGACATTTTTTATGGTATACAAAATAGAGACATGAGTCATGACGGTAGTAATATATGTCACACACAGTGACTGCAGATGTTTCGTTATTTTGGTATAATATGTAAATTTATTCATCGTCATGATTTCTCGGAAGTCTTATTGCACTTGGTCGTGACATTTAAAAATATATACACATACATCAATATTTACCTACTTTAACAATCTTTAAACTTTTCTGTAGTACACTGTCATAAGTAATTGACTGATAAAAAAATTGAAATACATTACCGATGATGAAATCATTAAGTCAGTATGGACCTATCGAACACATAATTTCACATTTATAATAAATATGAGTATTTAAATACATGAATTAAGTCCTCCTCATTGGGTATTTGAGAATATTGTTGATTACCAATATTATTTTAAAACGTATCAACATTATTAACAATTTATCGTCCGGCCTGAAATGAATTAAATTGTCTTCTGACAGTAGTATATTCAACCGACAGAATTGTAACAGTGGTGTATGATTTTCGAGATTAGCGTTACATGTCACCAAACTGCCACATAAAATGTTATTATTAAGTCAAAACTTGAAATTAAAACACATTCCCGGTTTTTAAATTTTTTAAATAAAAAAAATAAATATATTTAATAAATAATTAGAGGAAGCAGTTGCCGGACGACAACGATCAACACGCATTCTCATGAGCTCCGGATGGTCGACACGCTTAGGTCAATTACTAAATCTGACTTAATAAGGATTAGAGGATAAAGTCTATATCATACCATTGTACGAGCAATGAGCGTTTTGATGTTTTGGAACGTCGACGACAACACAACTTGGCCGTCAGACGAGGCGATCAAACGGTACAGAAATCAAAACGCCGACGACGCACGGGCCGTGAAGATATTCGATTACAGGACGGGTCCGAAGTCGATTGTGGACGCCGTAGACCGGGAATTCCGGCTGGCGGAACACCACGGCCACGGCGTCCGGTTAGTGTTAACCGGTTACCGGGACCCAGTATTAGCGAAACGTCTATACCGGGAACGCGGGTTACCAGTGAACATGGTGTTCTCGACCGTGGAAATCGCAGACGGCGGCGACTGGTCCGACGCGTTTTGGTCGGACGACGGCATCACCATGTCCGGATGGAACTGCTCAGCCGGTGAAGATGAGGAAGACGACCTGGACATGATCAGCCACGTACTACAATTCGTCAACGACCTGTCCTATGACTACCGGTGGTACGTCCGTGGCCTACGCGACATACCCTCGATGGCCGCAGCCGACGTGAATTGCGTGGACGGCGTGTACTCGTCCACCATGGACACTTTCGGCAATGGCGTTCAAGCCGTCGAACCCGTTCTGGACGCCATATTGGAACAGCTGTGCGGCAAAGCTTGTGTAAACCAAGCGACGCAGGAAGGCGACATCCGGTGGACGTTGGCGTCTGGCGTGATCGAGGAAGGCGACAAGGCGGCCGAAGACGGAGCTCGCCTGGTGGCATTCCGCAATGACTGTTCTGCTTCAGCCGCGATTGATTACACTCAGCGGACGACCAGAGTGGCCGCGTCATTCGTGTCCGCGTTTTGGAACGATCATGCCGACATCGCGGTTACCAACGCCAACCGCACACTGGCCGCTTGCTTGACCGAAAACCTCAGAGCCGTGGCCGACGCGGAACTCGCCGAGCTATCCACCGAACAATTTGCGATGTGCTTGAACGCCAAGTTCATCGCCAGCAGGCGTTGGCGACGGACGGTTGGCGATTCGTCTGTGGGCGGATCCACGGCGGCCGCTGGCCCGTCATTGTTCCGGCCGGAAATCCGGGAACGCTGCGAGAAGTTTTTGGCCGTGGAACACTTGGTGGATCTGATGGCTGCCGGCGATAACAACGGTTTGTTCATTCGGAGTCACCTGGAATACTTAGAACCGTACGTCTTACCCCAGAGGCTAGTAGACTACGCGTCAACATACTTTGACTATGAAGTCCGATATTTCGCACTCACCGACACTCTGGTGTTTAGATTCACAAACGGTGAACGCGGGCGGTTCGTCGAACGCAGTCACGTGCACCGATTTTCTGGGCCAAGAAATTTCAAAGAGTTCCATGCCGAGGCGTTTCGAACGAAAGACTTTAAGAGGTTGGTAATAGTTTTAGATATACTCGCGGTTAGTGTTCCATAGTCAGTCATATTATATCGTCTAGTAGCGACGGTCACGGTACTGATCGTCCATTAGCGGTGACCGATCCAAACGTGTTCCGGTACCGGGAATTTGGTTACGTCGAAGCATCGGATTTCGCGGTACGCTACGTGTCGGCAACCGGCGACATCAAAATTCGAGCAGAAGTGTACGAATTGCGTGATGACGACGACAAAAGTTGGGCGGTAGCGTGCGAACGGCGGTACCGGATGAAAGTGGAATGTGGTGAATTTTGGGTAACAGTTCACAGCGTGGTGACAGCAGACGACGACGGTGACGGTGGCAGAGATCGGCAGACCGAGCTGATTGCCGGTTTAACCGACGGTACCGTGGTCGCGGTAACCCGGTTATACCGCGGTGGTTTCGACGTGACCGCGCGAACGAACACCGGTCCCACCAACGACGACCTCAGCCAACCATACGTATGGCCGGACGGCCGGCAGGTGTTTGAATTTGTCGACGACGTGGTCTCTGTAATCGCTGCTGACGGCACGTGGACATCTGTCGACTTTGGGCGAGCAGACGACTTCGTATGTGCGACGTACCTGTCGGACGGCGCTCGTGTCCGGATGACGACTACCCAACCCGTCGTGCAGTTTTGCCACGACTCCAAACCTGGAGAACCGGTAACCGACAAATATTTAGTGTGTCGTAGAGACTTGTCTGGTTATGAATTCGTCAACGACCCTGATCTACGGCAAACGGTATGTCGGACGTACAAGAGTTCTGACCGCGAAACGCCGTCGCCTGTAACGGTTGTGAGAACGCTAACACGAAACCGATTCGACCGCCGAATGGCAGAATTGATGGACAAGGCGCTTTCCGATCATCTAATAACCGTTAAAACCTTAGCCAACCGATTAAACGCCGGACTTCCAGACAACAATGACCGTGGTGACGAAGAACTAGACGAATTATCAGACGAACTCCACGGGGGCATCTCCATGGTCTCTCATTCATCAGCTAAATTATAATTATTTATGAACACTTGACTCCGTCACAAATTGACATCAAAATTAAAAGTTATGTCCAAATATATTATTTTTGTTCTATCGTACAAAGTTTTTAAGCTTTCGATGCATAAAACTAAGCTGTTGAATTATACATTAGTCGAAACTTAACCAATCACTGTTTCCTGTACCACAATCATTTTGCGGATTACCTATAGTTTTTTTAAAGACTGTATTGAGAAGTTTAAAAATGACTATAATTATCTAACGTATTCAATTTCCAATTCATTGAAGTGGTGCATGATGTTTGTATAAGTGCTTAAAAAAAATTTTCTAATCTAATTTAACTATAACTTCTACAATTCATTCTAAGTCTAAAATACATTAGTATTCTGACTTATAAGAAGTCAAATCTATATACCTGCATTGTAAATAGTTTCAAAACAACATGTTTTATGACATTAAATAAAAATATTTTTAATAATTAAATAGTATTGAATAATGTGATTTATAAGTGTAACACTATACAATATTAATAATTGTGTATTGCTTTATAACAATACTTATGCAAAATTAAAATGTAATAAAATAATTCATATTTCTATAATAATGAATATTAATAATTAAAAAAATTAATATCGTAATGTATGTATATATAAATGTATATCCTTTATTCTATGTTAAATTCTTAGTAATAGCTTTCCAATTAACTTTACGGTCCTCATTATAATAATAATTGTATTGGTTTATAACATCATTATTATCGTTATTGTTAATTTTTGTAAACGCTTAATTAGCATAAACGAACTACTTAACAATAAAGGTAAACAACTCGGTCGGCGTTATTTATGATCACTGCATTGAACGTTATTGTTAACCGACGAGGCCCTTTAATGACTGCCAAGGGAACGAGTGCAAACAAAGATTCTCGCATTAAAACGAATAAGGTGATTATATTATAAATCACGTCGATGGCCAAAGATTTCTCGAAAGTATAATTTTTCTTTCTCTTTGGACGGTGAAAACTTTGCAAATGTGTTTCAATAAAAATGTGTCCAACACGAGTTTTACTACTTTCTAATACATTTTTCCCTGGAATAACTAAACTATTCGAATAAGCATTAATTTGACGCCTGGGACTTTAAATCACTTTGTGTGTAGAAAAAATAATCATTAAATACACAATGTGTTTTGTATTTCCTAAATATTTCCATTGTGAATTTACTCGTTAAGGTTTTTAACAGAGGAAATAGTTCAAGCATTTTTGTAAAACCTTCCAATATAATATATTTCAAAACTATTCTACTTATAATATTTATGGTAAATATAACTTAATTTTAATTTAACTGTTTTTGAATAAAAATAATTGTAAAAGTAAAAGTTTATCACAAATAAAATTTGGAGGAAAAAAAAATTTGGCAATTGTTTTCTCGATTAATATTTTGTGTACACGCGTGTTTTATTTATCGAACACAAAAGTAAACATAAGATATTGAAAGTAAAGTTTTTAGTCTGTTAACTTATTGCTTTATTTACGTAGTTATATTGTAAATGCGATTTATAATGGTCATATTTTATGTGCGAGCTGTTATAGTACCTCTCAGGGACAATAAGTTACCTACATAAGTCATAACTTCAACAATTTTAGAAAATATAATTTTTGTGACACTGATATATTGCGTGACCAGAGATATAGTGAACTACTAATAATACAACGTTAACAAAAACTTATAATTTTATTAAATATATTATATTTTATGAACACAAATGTACGTATTTAAAATTATCATGTTTTACAATTTAAAAAAGTTGTAACAAAATTATGTTATCAAAACGTTCGTATGATATGATAAAAGTTTAATACTTCTTTTTAGATTAAATACATAGATAATATTTTAATGGCTATCATTACGACTTATATACATGGAGCATTTTATTTTTCGTTATAAGTTATAGGTATATAATAAATAACCTTACAATGATATCGTGCGTTGTTTGTATTTAAAAAATACGTACCTATATGATGTACTATTTTCAAAAGTATTTCTTTATGCATTTTAAAGTTATAAAACTTGAAGACGAGTAGATATTACTCAGTATATTTGGTTAGAATACCGCCTAAGATTATAGACGGTAGCTACTTTTCCGAGAACGATGGATTTCCGTTCCGCTTAAACTATTTCAAGACGTGCAATTTTGATTGAACGACAACAAATTTAAAACGTCCACTTGAAAGTTTTGAATCCTTCAGTTGATTATTATGATGTTGTAATATTAAAATATCGATATTGAAACATCGCGACGAGTATTAATAAAGTTTGTTTATCAAAATACAAAGTTTTAATGATGACGATGAAAATATCAACGAGGTACACGAGCGATAGGCGTGACTACTCTCGTTTACCATTTTTATCGATCAAAATGGAAAAAAAATTAGATAGCAACAAAAATTGGACATTATTAAGTATACTATCCGTAAGCTATCATTATTGTTTTTGAGAGTCCCATGTGGATTGCAACAATGGCACAATAAATTAATTTTGTCGTTTCGTGCTAATCAACACGTTTTGAAATGACGTCATGGGCGTCACAAGGTTGAAGGTGACTGCATTATAATAATAACGATAATAAAATTATAGATTCATCAATATATGTGTGCGTGAGAAAATAAATATGTATATAAATAAATAAATTTATATATATTGTACTATATTTGCATATTATGGCTTAATATTATCGACACCATTTAACGAACGGATTTATTGGATTTCACGATCTCTTTTATATTGCAGGGTTTGGGATCAATGTAACGTGATTCAAGACTATTTGACAGTGTACGATGGATCGTTGGCCACAGACCCTGTACTGGTGAGGCTGTGCGGCGGTGACGCGGTACCGGATATAGTCAGTTCCGGCCCAAATATGCTGTTAGAATTTCACACTTCCGCGTTTGACAACCCGTTCCATCCGGTACCGCTAAGCTACTTGCCAGGATTTGAATTGGACGTGGAGGTAATTATTTTATATGAGGAAATTCCTCAATCGAACATCACTCATTATTTTAAAACCCATTAACGAGATTTTTAATCTCTATAATCATTAATTCTTAATAGTTTATGATGAAAACACATAGTTGAAAAATAATGAACTATTATATTTTTATAAGAAAAATGAACTCATATGGTTCTTGTAACACTTTTTTGAGTTGTTTTTGATAACTGGTTTTAATTTTAGGAGTTCTAGTGTTCCTTATTTAATATTTAATTAACAATCAAAAAATTATAAATTATTGTTAACAAATATATGATGCATTTTTTTTGGTGGGGAAGCTTTTTCGGCATTTAAGACCATCCCATATCCCATACAACAAAATATTCCTAAATATTTTTCTTTCTTCAGCTACTTATAATTCATGATACATATATTATTGTTAAATACGCTTATAAATTGTATAATATATTAATTTGATGAAGAACAAAAACTATTAACAAGTTGAAGTATTAAATTATACTCTATAGTACTATAGTAAAGCCCTGCAAAGGCGTTAACTTTCAATAAATAAATACATTAAGTATTTAATTATTTTTTACTACTGAATTTTATTCTGCAGTTTGATAAAAAATAAAATACTCATAACATTGATAATTTATTATACTATTACATTAGTACACATTTCATTTTTCTTTGCATCATGTTTTTAAAATACAATTTTTGCATATTTTATAGTATACTCGTACAATTCCCATACCATTCCAGTCTTTTGGCGTATGACGTATAAAATTGGCACGATTACTGATGTTTTAACCTTTCAGATACTTTTCGTTGACAACAAATCTCCCAGCTACGCCAAAAACACCAGTCAGTGCGAGTTCTTCATCAAGCCGTTCAACAACACCAACTGGGGCCTTTTGGACAGTCCCAGACATTCTTTGCCACCAAACACGTCGTGCAAATACCACTTCCAGGGTTCCAGTCACCAGACAGTCTGGTTGTCTTTCATCAAGTATCATGCGGCCAGCACTGATCCAAACGCCTATCACCTGAGTAACGAATGCAACGCCAGACTACGAATTTGGGACAAAGTTGTATCAACAAAAACAAAAAAGGTCAGTCACGCGATGATTTATAACAGTAAATAATCTAATGGACCGTATGATCTATATGCGAAGAGTGGGTGAGGTTTTAAACAACAATTTATATTTCATACATGCATATATGAAACGTAATTTCTCGGTGAAACAAAATTAACTGTAAGCCTCGTAAATATTAATTCCATTTTCTTTCTATGTTAATTAATACCGACTGTTACCGATAGATTTTTTTTATGTCAATCTTAAACGTATCGTCCAGTTAATTTGAGTACTTGATTTCGTTACAACTATGTACATTCAAAATTGAACCTTATTCGATGGGTTAATATCTTATCTATAGAGTTATGCATTGATTGATTTCATGTTGTACGGTTAAATATTTTTTCAACGAAAATCACAACATATTACATTTTATCCTAAATAAAGTTATGTAAATATTAATATATAGTTCCATTTTGTAGAACTCTCCGTTTAAATAGATAAAAACAACGTTTATGATGTTTTTATGTCATATCACGCGTAAAATAAAATCTGTATATAACAATGATATTTTAACGCTTGACAACATAAGTTTCTTTTTAGATTAGCCTTTATTGGTATCCCCGTGGAGTTACATAAATTTATACTTTATTATGTTCAAAATTTAAAATATATACGTTTAGTATTCGTCCTATGCATAATATTATATTTTTATTAAGTTTCCTCAAATAAGGGTTAGTATTAAAAATATGTTATTTTTGTGTAAGGTGTAAGTATACGTCTAATTTTGCGTCTAACATATATGTTAGTAAAATAATTATTTTACCATGTCACGTATAAAATATCGTGTCACAATATAACAATACCGATAGGTTTTTGTAGCCAAAATATAAAATATAATTAATATTTACGCAGTTCAATAATTCATTAGTTCTATAATCGCTTAACTGAATATTAATTTAATCAATAATAAATAAAGTTCATATATTAGCACGCGTCTTAAAAGCATACCTGTACTATGATAATGACTTAAATTTTTTACTACTGAAGAAATATTGATAAATTACAATAACATTTTATTAATATAAATATATTATAATATTCATATTTAAAAGCAAATATATTTCTCGAGCATTCTTATTAAAGAAATAAATGTATATTTACTGCGGAAGTCGTAGATCATAAACTTTTAAATTGAAACTTTATGATAGATAATAATTAATGAGATATTTTTATTTAATTTTTTCATATGAAATGTATGTATGTATGAAAATTATATAAATATAATTTTAATTCTTATCTGAGTGATCCCTCTTTTGGTCAAAATTTATCCTTTCATTTTCAGTTAATATTTACAGTTCCCCTTTTGACTATTGAAATTATTTGATTTTATTATATTTTCACGCATAAATTTGTAAACAAATATCGTATAACTATATAAAAAAAAAAGTTATCTTAATTTTTACTTCACTATCATAATTATTGTTACACATACAGGAATTATATGACTATTCATTTTAATTCTATTAATGCAATTGAAAATTTTAATTTTTGACCTATTCGTCAAAGGATATTTTATTTTTATTTATTATTTTTTTTTTTTTTTTGTAAGTCGTTTGTGGTAATTTTGATAACTAAAAATCACTTTTATAGGTATAAACAAATGTAATTAAGAATAAAAATTGTCAATTACTATAGTTAAAATTGTAAATTTAAAAAAAAAAAAACTATACTGACTGAAAACAAACACTGTCCGATAAGAATAAGTCATTATCCTACCCCCATACACAATTTATTTGTGCATCAATATTATTTAACAATAGAAATAAAAAAAAGGTATATAACCAAAAATGCTAGTTGTTTTCTAACTTTAATCTTAAAATTTGTACATCTCCAAATTTACTCTCGTAACATCCAATTTTCAAATATTGTACTAATATTTCTGTTTTAAAATATAAAATAGGTAATATTATGATAAATAGTATTGTGATAATATTTTATAGATAATCAGTTAGCAATTACACAACTAAGATGTATGGTGACTAATCGATTTTTATCGCTAAGTTTATCAAACGAGATAGTAAATTACTGGATACTAAAACGCATGACACACTGTCGAGACATACAGCTCTAAGAGACATACGAGACGTAACATTATATTATTATACTGTAATTTTAATTTATGAATTTTGAGTACATGTAAGAATGAGTCAATTCAAATTTGTTAATTCAAGTCGTGAAAAAGCTGGAATAATTTTCCAAAAGTACTTTTATACGGAAAGAAAAATACTGAAAACCTGTGAGGTCATATTTATGTGTCCGAAATTTTATTATTTTCAATTAATTTTTACTCACTAATGTATATTTATATTAACTAAGAAATATATATATATACATTATAAAAAGTAATTTTGATTGAAAATTTAATGATTTTCATAAATCATGTAATAATAATAAATACAAATAATTAAAAATAAATTGAATTGTAATCATATTCATAGAATAATGTACATATTGAAATAAACACTTTTTTTGGTACATTAAAATATAAATATATAATATAAAATATATATTATTATAATATACAATATATAATATTATAAAATTATATTATAATTATAATAATAATATATATATTATAATATAATATTATAATATATTATTATTATAATATATAATATATAATAATAATATACAAATAATTAAAATAAATTGAATTGTAGTCATATTCATAGAAATAATGTACATATTGAAATAAACACTTTAGTTGGTACATTAAAATATAAATATTATATTATTATAATATATATAATATATATATATATAAAATATTATAAATTATAATTATAATAATATAATATATAATATATATTATAATATTATTATTATAATATATAATATATAATAATAATAAATACAAATAATTAAAAATAAATTGAATTGTATTATTCATAGAAATAATGTACATATTGAAATAAACACTTTTGTTGGTACATTAAAATATAAATATTATTATAATATATATAATATATATATATATGATATAAAATATTATATTATAATTATAATAATAATATAATATATAATATAATATAATATAATATTATTATTATTATATAATATATAATAATAATAAATACAAATAATTAAAATAAATTGAATTGTAGTTATTCATAGAAATAATGTACATATTGAAATAAACACTTTTTTTGGTACATCAAAATATAAATATATAATATAATATATATATATTATTATTATTATTATTATTATTATAATTGTATAAAATTATATATAATATATATATTAGTTCTATGAATATGACTACAATTAAATTTATTTTTATTATTTGTATTTATTATTATTACATGTAATTTTATGAAAACATTAAATTTTCAATCAAAAATTACTTTTATATAATTCTATTGTTCAACATGTTGATGCGCAATTTATGTGTGATAATTGTTCAAATTGGCTAAGGAAATAGTATACATAATAAATAATAAATATTATATATCAAAATTACATCCAAATGATTATTGATAAATACTTGTCAGTTGCTGCTGATTTCAATACACCTATAATAATAATAATGATATAGAATAATAACAATAGATAGTTTTAATTAATACAATAACAATAAAACAATATATTTTAAACATTAGTACATTTTGAGTGTAGACTAATTTCAATTTTTAAATCTTCTGTAGCACTAGAGTAACCTTGTAATTGGTGACGGATATTGTAATTACATAATAATAGTATAAATTTTTGCTGTGGGACATTTCAAGTATTGATAATGAAAATATATAAGAAAAATTATCAACTAAGCGAGTTAAAAATTTTATTCTTATATTTAACAACAATTATTTTATTCTTATCAAAAGTATGCAACAACTATAATATTATATAATTTTAAGTAAAGATATAATAATAACAGTATATTAATAGGAAAATCAGACATCACACTAAACCATTATTTTACATAAAAATTAAGTAGTAACGTATAATAATATTGTTTAATTATGTCGATAGTCGGCGCGTCATTTAGGCATTTTGACATATATGCGTGAAGGTGACTAACAAACTAAATCGAATATTATCATGCTTTCATAAAACAATGACGATAACATCATGTCACAAACTCATAACACCAGTCTTGATCCATCTACCATTTGAATACGCTAGAGTGCTAGACTTCAAATGTTAGGACTTTAACAGAATTGTAATAAAAACGAAATTCACATAACAATATGTTAAACAAATGTCTGTTTATAGGAAGCAATACGTAACTA